GGAAGATGATGCTGGATTTTGTAAAATTTTAGATGATGGTGTGTTTTTTTTTTTATAGTTGGGTTAGGATTTAGGGTTAGAGTTTATAATTAAAGAATATATTGGATTTTTAGTAGATTTTTATTTAAAATGAAGACTTCAATTCAGATTTCAGCATCATCTTCGACATTAGTTAATCCAAATATTAAAATAAGATATTTCAAGCTCATGAATATTTACATTTTATTTATGTTAATTAGTGAGTAAGTATAAAGAACATTTATGAAATTAAAAATATTTAAAATAAGCTATTCAAGTTCATGAATTTCTGCTATTTATGTTATTTTATTCACGTCAATTTAGTGAGTAAGTATAAAGAATATTTATTAATCTAAATATTCTCAAATAAGCTATTCAAGTTCATGAATATTTTACTAATATCCACATTAATTTAGTCCGTGAGTATAAAGAAATTTATTAAGCTAATTAAGCTCTTGAATATTTATTATTTAATTTCATTTTTTTATTCACATTAATTTAGTCCGTGAGTATAAGAACATTTATAAATCTTAAGTATCTAAAATAAGTTACTCAAGTTCATAAATATTTATTTACTATTTAATTTTATTTTATTCACATTAATTTAGTGAGTGAGTAGATAAAACATTTATTAATCTAAAATATTTTAAAATAAGTTATTCAAGTTCATGAATATTTACTAAATTTTATTTTGTTCGCATGAATTAGGCGGTGAGCATAAAATTATTTGTAAATAAATTAGAAGTCACATAATAACAATATGAAAATATAATATTAATTGAAAATTATAAAGTGATTCTTACCACGGGAAATGTGCACATTGTAATGAATATAACACGGATCGAGCATGGTGTCAGACATGTGAAACAATTCAAGAATGGACAAATGGAAATAAATAAAGATATCGACGATTGTATGAAAGAGTTTCAACTTAGAACTGCCGCGTATGGATCTATGATTGAATGGATTCCATTTGATAGACTAAATAACTTTAAAAAAATTGGCCAGGGTGGATTTGGCTCGGTATTTTCTGCAACCTGGTTGGATGGTATACGATTGATTAAAACAATTAAGGAAGATGACTATATTCATGTGAAAACACGTGAGCAGTCTGTTACTGTAGCACTCAAAACCTTGTCTGGTTCTAAAGATGATTTTTTAAATGAAGTAAGCTAAAAATATCATCAAATGCACGGTTTATTAACACATTTAACTAATTTATTATATAAATTTATTTATAAGTTTGACAATCATATGAAATGTATACTTTACGGTAGTCGGCTTAAAGTATACGGATTGACTCAAAACACAGAAACAAGCGAATACTTGATGGTGTTTCAATACGCTGATAATGGAAGTCTTAATAAGTTTTTACTAAAAAATTTTCGAGATCTTACTTGGAAGACTAAAATAAATTTACTTATAAATGTTTCAGTTGATTTGGGTGAAATTCATAGAGCAGGATATTTTCATGCAGATTTTCACAGTGGTAATATCTTGCAACATGGAGGCACTAGTAAACGTATAAGATCTTATATCTCAGACCTAGGATTGTCTAAAAATAAGAATGAAAATAATTCAGAAGGCCGTATTGTTGGTGTCGTTCCTTATGTGGCTCCTGAGGTTTTATCAGGTCAAAAGTATACAACAAAGGCCGATATCTATGGCTTTGGAGTCATCATGTCAGAGGTGTCAACCGGACAAAGACCTTTTGACGGTTTTCAATTAAATGATGATCTTGCAGTAAAGATTTGCTTTGGATTGCGGCCTGAATTTGCACCTGGGACTCCAAATTGCTATATTGAATTGGCTAAACAATGCATGAATTCTGATCCAGAAAAGCGGCCCACTGCTTCGGATATTTATCAAAAACTTGCAAGTTGGGATGACAGCATGGAAAGTTTAGATGACACAGATGAAATTAAAAAACAATTCTTAGATGCAGATAAAAAAATCGAAGAGTTGCCAGTCATCTCACCAAAACATCCTGATGTTATGTATTCGAGCAAACCGATCAACACTCAAAGAATATCAAGTGAAATTAAAGGTATTTATTTTAACCCTATCGACAGTGATGTCTTGTCCAATGATCCAATAACAAAAGTTGGACGTTGAATGACTTTACTATGTGTTCAACGTCCAATTGGGCATTGGACGTCACATGCCAAAATCACATGTGATTGGCCAATATTTGTGTTACATTTAATACTACTAATTTCAACCAATCAAAATTTTATAGGATCCAAAACTTTTATGCCCAAGAATTACGATGTCCATGAGTCCGAATATATATCACTACCTATCGATGTCGAAGTTCCTGATGGTGAGTATTAAACTTACAGTATATGTAATTAAGCAAATTTATTACTTATTTTATATTTGTAAATTTATTTAGATTGATTTAATTGCTTTGAAGGTATAAACTTCTTGCTCATAATTATTATTATATTGTATTGATTGTTTAAGAAAATATTACAATTGTTTCTAAATCAGATTATAGAGATTGGAACCGCTTAATCGTTTAACAGCTAACATCAATATAATTCGCCCAAAACTATGAAAAAATATTTACAATTCCAATTCTTAATCTATTTTTTGTTGTTACGTAGCAATTATCATTCACAATAATTGTTATATATAGTATGTTATTACGAGCCTAAAGCCAGCTAATATAAATTATTTTGAATTAATAGGTCAATAATTAACATATGTAGACTTTGAAAATTGCCACTATTATAACGTTTTTCTTATAATAAATACTTCAATCCACCATAATTTACAGTGGCGGTTTTGAAAAATCCATATTTTCTCTAGTTCTTTATTTAAATTTATAATAATACTTATAATTAGAATTTTGTCGATCAACCAATAAGATTCTTGGACGTTAAACATTATATGGAATATAATATATCCATTGCAGCATTGTATGGTGATCGTGATGATCACAATGACCACAATGACCTACGTCAATCGGATAGAAACGTTAGATTTCCCATCCAAAGAACTTTTTAAAAAAAATCGTAAACTCGTATTTTAAACATGATTGAAATTATTTGTAACGATCGACTGGGTAAAAAGGTTCGCGTAAAATGCAAGTGAGTTCTCTCCGCTCTTTTGAAACAATTCAAAGTGATTATCGTGATAACATTTTTGAATTTTCTATAGCCCTTCCGATACTGTTGGGGATCTAAAAAAATTGATCGCTGCTCAAACCGGTACTGATGCTTCAAAAATCATTTTAAAAAAATGGTAAGGAACAAAAAACATATGGTCGGTGCTTGATTTAGCGATTATTATTTAACTGTTACGATGTCTTGGCGATTTAAATTTAAATCCCTTTTATGAGAATACATAAGCTGATTTTAGCGAATCTCTTTTAAGTCCTTATACTTAAATCAAGCTCTGGCTTATTATATTTTTGACTAAATATTAGTAACATTTGCTTGTTTTTTATACTTACGTTTTGCTTTATAAACAATGTTTATTTCTTGTGTATAGGTATACAACTTACAAGAATACTATTAGTTTGGAAGATTGTAAGTATAAAATGATTTTTCTTAAATTGTTATCTTATTTATATATATATCTTTTATTTTTTACAGATGAAATACATGATGGGATGAACTTGGAATTATACTACTCTTAAAACATATACTGTCATTAGTTAGTGAAATTAACCAACAGCGAGGAACATGGCCCAGCTTGTTTTGCCAAACAAACCTACACTACTTATCATATTTAATTTTTCTATAACTAATATATTCAATGCTATCATAAATACATTGTCACAAATAAAGTAACAACCCCCGAAAAAATAATGGATATATTTACTTGAAAAGAGAATTTATATATTTGAGTGCATGCTTGTATTTAAAGAGAGTAATATAAAAATGCGTGATTTGCTAAATATAATAATTATTATTAAATTCAAGGTGAATCAGATATCATACACTTATCGAAAGAGAATTATACCGACACGGTAACTCATGATCTAATTCGGCCAAGCTATAATTCTATCCCAACTTGATAACAGATAAGGTTAATAAATCTGTGTCACCAATAGATTGCAAATTTACATCATATACATTCTTAAATTAAGCGCAGAAAATTCAGTATCACACTTTCTTGAGCAAATGAAATTATCCCTTAACAAACAATTAACCTGCGGATTTAGAGCGAATGCATCTTCTGTGGCAGATTGCATGTAAATCGTAAGGATATATGTTATAAGCAGATTAAATATCCCACTCGTGAGCTTTCTGCCCAAGTAACTTTTGGCAATATAAGACCTTTTGTTCCTCGCTTATTTTTCGGGATCCTTCAGAAGTCACATGTGAAAGGTTAAGATCGAGGCTTAACAAATCAGGGACGTGTCAGATATTAATTGAAATTAGTTTACTATAAAGCTCCCCCCCCCCCCCCCTCTCCCTCCTGCGAAATTCGGTTATTCTGACTGGTAATGTATACATACTTAGACCTGAGATTTTATTACCTCCCTCCCACCCTACGACATCAGCTGATATCTGACACTTCCCTTATTTGATTATAATTCTCAATTCATCGACTCGAAATGACTGCATGTGCTTTTTTGGAATAAAAATAATTGAATATCTGTGCGCAACTTTGATTTGTAGAAATCTAAGGGATAACATATTAGTACAGTACATATGACCAGATTCGTATAGCACAGGCTGATTTTAAAACCATACCATAATACCATACCAATCAGTCACAATTTACATAGTCTAACCTAACGCTAATATAAAACGCCGAATCAGTATGGTTCTAAAATAGGCCTGTACTACAGACCTGGTCACCATACTGATCTGCGTAATTTGGAAATAAAAAACCCTGAATTGAATCCAATATTGTTATGAAGCGTACCAATTTATTGAAAAACAATATTCCAAATGTTCACAAAGCCATTTAACCATGTAGTCCAAACTAAGTCTATTACAATTTTTCACTCATTGAATATTTTCTTATTTCATCTCATTATCATCTGACAACTTCCTAAGAGATATATCGTATACAACTACAAATTTAAGACACGTGAAGACCGTGAGTAACGAATGAAAAAAATTATAGTTATTATAGTAAATTGATATACCTTCTTCGATTTTTTTGATATTATACTTTCATAATTTAGGAAAAAGTGAATAAAAGAGTCGCAACATCGATAATAAATTAATGTATATATATAATAATTATATACCTTTATTCCATCAAAACGCCTTCTCAAAGCATCATTTTTCAGATTCAACAGTTGGAATCCCGTATATAATTGTTGAACAAAATGTGAGATTCGAATTGGCCGATTATAATCACCAACTGTGACTGCGTTGACAGCGAGTCGAGACTATATTGAGGAATAAGTTATAATGGGCAATAATAGAGCTTTTTGTAGGATATAACCGAATAAACATTTACCAATTCATTAGTTAAAGTGATAAAACTATGAAGGAATTCTTCGAGAGATATGTGAAAGTCCTGTAGATCATTATTTAGATTGATCTTGACTTAAATCGATGCCATTGTATTCATTAAAAAAAAAAATTTAAAGAAATCACGAATCATACAAGAAGTTATATATGTAATTGAAACCTTACCACCAAGCAATGATTCTAATTCATTTGCAGTTATTAATTTTTCATATTGGAGATAGATCGCAAATGCTGCAAGAAAAACTGAATTCTGAACTGTTCTACTCCAAAGTTCATTATATCTAAATACAAATAATAATATATCTTAATTACCCAACATTTGTCTAAATTTGCGTCACGAAACAAACCTGTAATATTGCTGATGAGGTACAAGTTTTGCAAGGTTTGTCATGTGCTGTTTAACTTCTTCAAATCTATCAATAGCTAATTTGCCGACTGTTGGTACTGTATCCAAAATTACGGTTAATACAAGAATTCGTGCAGAAATGTCAAGACTTACATATACATTACCTTCCTCGGCCTGAGCAGAATGAACTCTATTCAAGATAGAAGTGATAGTACGGCAAGTCCTATCAAAGTCTCGTACTAGCCGAAGTATTTCCTTTTAAGAGGAAACAAGTGACTAATGTTAATAAATGTTTCTGTGTTAAAGAGAATAATATAGTTTAAAAAGCATTGAAACCGACATGCGTACTTCTTTTCTTGCAGCCTCCTCTTCCATCGCTGCATCAATATTGTCGAAAAAACTTAAATCAATAGAAGACATCTTTTTTATTCGTTGCTACAGTACTATGAAAAAGTGCAAAGCTATCAAATTATCAAATTATACACGATAATCTTACAAGATTCCTGTTATTGGTTAGAAATTTAAGTGTGATACAGACCAATCAGAATCCTTGGATATACAAGCAAATCGTTAAAAGCATTCGAAAATCGTATATGTACAATATTTAAACAATGGACCGTAAACAGAATCAACCACCTTTAACTGTCAAAGAACCTTGTTATCGTTGTGCATGGTAAATTGATTTTTTTAAACTTTAAATTCATTTGGCAATATATTGATATAGTCTTGATTTTTTTTTTTATGCAGTGGGAGATTAATTCCGATCAGTGAGATCACGAGCAAACAATTAATATCTCCAAGGTTAAATTTTTTAATCTAAATATATGGTGTGAACAGCCTAAAGACATCCAATTTGCATCAAATTTTTTTAAATTGCATCTTCTCAATAAAAAAGGTAAAATTGCAAAAAGAAGTATCGATATTTTTTTAAAAAGACCTATCAGACTAAGTAAACCTTTTATTAAGAAGATGCATTCTTAGATTAAAAATAATAATAATTTTTATTTTTTTTTATTTTATAGATTGCTATTTGCACCATATTCAATTCTTAAGTTCAAATATTGACATTTGAATTATAATTTTTTGACAGGGCGACTGCTTATCATGAAACCGTGTCTTCTTCACGGTTACCACATATATCAGCTCGTCGTCTTATAGAAAAAGCAGAAAGATATATTCACATTGATGGTCCATGTAAAACTTTAATGGATGACGTTTGCGATTTTACTCCGGGACAGAATGGGTTTTCAGTGGAAAAAAATGCTGAAGAAATTTCTTTATAGTTAAAAGTCACGTGGTGTACTATTGTGTTATCTGGCATTTTTAGATCATTTCTGCATGTACAATTATCATGGTCATATCATAGTAAATTTTATATAAATTATCATAGCTGAATTGAGAACAAGCAAAATTTTTCTTTACTTACATGATGCTCGACAATTATATCAGATAATCTGCTAAATTAAACTAGGGTTGTTTTTTTGATGCAGCTTGTGGTTTTTTGTTATATATAGATATCAAGAATAAAGTTAATGTGATATGTAGATCAATATGTAAACGTGTACCTGGCTTTTACCTTAAGCAGATTCTAAATGCATTTAAGTTGAAACATGATAAAGTATTTCAAACTATCTATATTGATTGCAATGTATACATAAGCATGATTGTTGGGATGATAGCTACTTCCGCAAGGCAATTTTTTACTCTTACATTTACGGCTCTGCAAATTAGAGCTGAGCCGTTTAAAAGGTGATCAACTTCGATTTACTTTTTAGTTGTATCAAGTTACTGTTTTAATAAAACTCAATTTTTTATAAATATCTATATCTCTACTTATCTATTTTTAAATTGAAAATAACTAATTTAACTAGTGAGATATTAACCACCACTAAATTTTTAGAATTTATTATAAAATAAAGATCAATATAATATACAGTAATTTAATATAAAGGTTCAAATTTTATTATACTGTATATAAGGCTTTTGGAGAATTTGAATATTTTTATTTAAAATTTCTAACTTTAATTACTTAGTATGTTTTTAAAATATATTAAGCATGGCCTATTTGGCATACACTTCTCAATATCTTAAAAGCCTTTAATATTCAATTGTCCTTTTACAAAGTTCAAGCCCATTCTAACGATACTTTTAATAATCTTGCAGATCTACTTGCTAATAACCATTCCACTTCCCCAATGTTATCTTTTAACTATACTAATTCTTACAACCCTTACTGTATTTTATCTTGGAAAACCAACTTTATCGATAGTCCCTCTAGACATTTCACTAAAAAAAATATGCAATGCATACAATATAGCTCTATGGTCCTCACAAAACCGTACCCAAGAATGGTTACACTTTTCTCACCAAATCGACTGAAATGCCTCTTGGTTATACTTTAACAATAATCAAAAAACTTCTTATAATTTCACCAATTCTAAATTAAACTATTTAAAATCTTTTAAAATCAAAATATTACTTAATATATTACCTATACATGTATATCTTTATAATATTTATCCTCATATTTTTACATCTCCTAACTGCTATTCCTGCAATAACTTAGAATCTTCTTCTTATTGGTATACTTGTCCCAACCACACTCCTTTAATCCAAATTATCAACACATCAATACATGATCCTTTTACTAATGCCAACCTCAATCTCTCTTCTCATCAACTTAACAACCTCATACATACTATTTCTTCACATCCTGTCTTCAATCTTTAACCATCCCAACTAAACCCTTCTTTCTTAATTCTACACTTAAAGGCCTTATACCCATACTCTTAATCCAATCCCTAGATCTATTCAAAATCTCATATTCCAATACTTCTCAACTTATTATTCAGCTATTTCTCAAAATCTTCAATCAACTTTACAGCAATATCTAGATTCTATACTGTACCAACTTTTCTAACTGGAAAAAAATCTCACCAAATTCTTCTTACTCCAACTATAATACTCCACCACATTCTTCTCAACACTCAATCAATAGAAGAAACAAAACTAATTATACTTACAGTTGTCCTTGTGGCTTCGCTGACCAACTATATTCCGAAACCAATACTTGCCCTCCTCTAGGACAAGCTATCCTTAAAATCAATACATGGTCTACTATGTGGATCAAATATAATATACCTATTAACAAAATCCTAACAATTCAAACCTAGGTGAGTCTTAACCACTCTAGTAGGTTTAGGTCACAGATAATTAGTTTAGCTTTTAGGCTAAGCTTTTAGTTTGAGCTTTTATTCTTGTATATAATTTATATTTATTTGTTATTATACAAATTAAGTCTTTATATAGTTGATA